ATGAAGTGGATCAGGAGACTTGGGGCCTTCTCAGAGGTGTGAGCATCGTAGGCTGTCCATTTGTAGAAAATGAGGATGACCAAGTAGCCAAACAAGGAGGTGATGAAGATTATTTCAGGAATGAAACCAAAGTAGATATTCAGGGGCTTCTTGAAGTAGCTAAGAGAGAGAGAGAGAGAGAGAGAGAGAGAGAGAAACATGCTAGAAGTAAACATCTACAGAGCCATCCCTGCAACAAATAAGAGTGCTCGCTCTCTCATGCACTCACTTTTCTACCCAACCCGCCCACTTCCGCCCTCATCTCTTTAAGCAGCAGCATTCTAGGGGCACTGGTGATAGCAGACACTAGGACTATCACTGCCGAACTCCGGACCTTGAATCATTCCGGCACTCCGCTCAACCAGGGGAAAGCACAACACTCTCACATGTAGGAACTCATACTTCGATGTGAGTTTCACATCAAAGAAAGCAAACAAAAAACCTAATTTGCTCTTCTCACTGAAAACTGCTCAAATAGTTTTCAAAGAACTTTACTACGATTGTAAATTATTAAGGCAGCCATCAAGGTTCAGTGAAGAAGCTGAGCTGTTACATGAGCACTTCTAGCACGTGAAGCCGGGTCCTGAATCCATCATCACTCTCAAAGATGCTACGATTCCTTTAGGGAGAAGCATTATCAGCACAAAGCATTCCGTTGAAAGGAAGGAGCAGCTCACACGTGATTGAAGAGGCTCAGGGTGACTCCAAACATCATATGGAAAATACCAAGGATGACAGACATCTTCATCTTGAAGGAGTTGAGGAAGGTCAGTTTATTGGTAGCAATGTTCCAAATCTGTCACAACACGAGAAAACAAAAAGGTATTGAAAAGGCGTCTCAGTAGAAAACCATGACTCGTCTACTGGAAAAAGCAGAGGCGCCAGCGCTGCTGGTGTGGCAGGCAACGCACAGAGCTGCCCATCACCAGGTGGCTCTAAGCCACCGGCTGCTCCGTGGGAGCAAGAGGACACCGTTGCCCATAAAGCCTTTAACGTCTCAGAAACTCAAAGGGGCAGTTCTGCTTTTTCCTGCAGGGTCACTGTGAGTCAGAATCAGTTCGACTGCGGTGAGTTTTAGTTGAGTTTGTTTTGAAAGTTATTCTTTAATTATGGAAAGTCCCAAACACACGTTAGAACAGTATATACCAAACAGGTACATGCATCTGTCATTCAACTTCAGTGATGACCGTCACTTATCAACTCATGGCCAATTTCACTTCTTCATCATAACCTCCACCCCCTTCCCACTTCCATGTGATTTTGACGCAAAGCTCAGATACCATTTTACTTGTAAACAGTTCAGTGTGGATCTCTAAAAGGTACGGACTTGTTTCGAAAACATGATCTAAATATGGTCACACCCAAAAGTGCGGACAATGATTCTTTAGCACCATGAATACACTCTCCGTATTTAGGCTTCCTTGTCTCTGACGTTTAAAAAGTATCTACATGTGACCTCCTCCCCGGGGACGGACAGCAGAAAAGTGGGTGAAGGAAGACGTTGGACAGGGCACGATATAACAAAATAATAATTTATAAATTATCAAGGGCTCACGAGGGAGGGA